TGGCCGGCTCACTACTCTCAGAGGAAAGGCAAGACGGACTTTTAACCAGATTGTGACCGGTACAATCAGTATTGGAACTCTGTGCTGGCTGCTGAAGATGAGGACGGAGCATGCATTGGAATGCCTCGAGTGCTGTGAGGTCAATTTTTGACTCAACTCTCTCGAATAGATTATTGCCTGGCATATTTTGTTGTATCTCGCCAGATACACACTACAGTAACAGTTGTTTTGTTGTATCTCGCCAGATACACACTACAGTAACAGTTGTTTTGTTGTATCTTGCCAGATACACACTACAGTAACAATTATTTTGTTGTATCTCGCCAGATACACACTACAGTAACAGTTGTTTTGTTGTATCTTGCCAGATACACACTACAGTAACAGTTGTTTTGTTGTATCTCGCCAGATACACACTACAGTAACAGTTGTTTTGTTGTATCTTGCCAGATACACACTACAGTAACAATTGTTTTGTTGTATCTCGCCAGATACACACTGCAGAAACAATTGTTTTGTTGTATCTCGCCAGATACACACTGCAGAAACAGTTGATCAAAATAAAGCAAATAAATGAATTCTTCTGACTGAAACACAAAATAGACATACCCTGCCTTGATAAAGAGGGCTGAAACATCTATTGTGATAACTACAGCAATATATCCTGACGGGTAATGTATTACATCTTCTCACACACAGAAAAAAGGATGGCATCGAAGGCTTTTTTCGCTGACTGGTCACAGTAAATTAATGCACATATGTAAATATATATGAATGTATTCATGCAAATATGTTTATAGTTTTAGAAATGTGAACCAATTATTTTATGTCTTTATATATTTATCATCTGATTAAGTGTCTTGCAAATACCTACACCCACACAAAAATGCAAAGACTGAATGTTGAAGTAAGAATCAACATCACAGCACTCAGGACACTCCCATAAGCACTCTGTCCCCATCTTCAGCAGCAACCGAAGAGTTCCAATTCTGATGGCACCAGTAACTGTCTGATTGTATATCTGTCTCGCCTTTTTCTTGCGTGTTGAGCGTCGGCCAGATCCCATGGTAACTCCTCGCAGCACCACATGCATAGGTGCTGGCACCTGGTCTCAGATTTGAGTCCCCTCTCCCTCCATATTTGGGGGTGGAGCTGAGATAAATTTCCTTCCTGTATGTTTTTTTAAAAGAACGTTTATGTCTCTTAATGTGGCCAGAGTAATTATTTTTTATTTTATTTCCCTCAACTTGGGAAGGCTAACTCAGGCAAGAAATGCTTGCAGAAGTCTGATGTTTCAGCCGAAATTGTGCAGATACTGCAGCCATGTTGTAAACAGGCACAACACATTTACATCTTCAGATGAAAACAGAAGAAGATTTCTTACAGCAACTCTTTTCATTCCTAGTCTGTTCAGAACATGTCATCTTTTTAAGGCAGCCACAAAACTGACCATTGATATTATTGTGATTTTATTTACATGCACAAATCTTCATATCGTGTATGAGTCAATAGTATACTGTCTTTTTTATATCTTTTATGTAGCTGCATGTTACATATATTGTACACGATAGCTTCCAAAAGTTGTTTAGAAAAATGAATAATTGTTTAAATATACTTACTGCCCCACTCCCCAACAAGCTAGTCATACAAGTTGACTAATTATGGGTGTTTCCTTCATAGTCATAGTGCGTCTGCCAAATGTTCTCATTAATTGTGCCTAGATGATTTGTTTGTTTTTGTAGATGTTTGAGTTGGTTGAGGCCCTGTGCTTCATTAAGGGTTAGAGAGGCAGAAGAAGAATATGGTTCTATAAATCTAGAACATTTCCTACCCCAACTAAGCCACATGAAAAGACATATACTTGGTAATTTTGCCACGCATGTTCAAGAGGAAATTAAAAGGTTATACCAGTCATACTGATCCAGCAAGGTCAAAACCGTCTTATAAAACTATAATCTCCAATACTAAGGCAGTTGTTGTTCTTTTTTTTCTTTGCAATCACCAGCTGTAAAGTCCAGCTGAAAGTCCAGCTGAAAGTCCTGGCTGTTTTTGCCCTCTTCTAAACTTTGATCTTGTTCCAGAAATTAAAGATAGTGTGTGTATCTGTCTTACATATCTGACCTACTTGTATGCAAATTGTTGGTTCCTCGCTCTCAGGCAGAAGCACTCCAACTTGGAAGAAAGCCCTACTTAGTCAACTTTTACGATATTCTTGTTGGGGAGGCAGTGGGTACATTCCTGTTTTCCCCACAATGGAGCCCCAGAACCAACACAGGCAAGATCTGACTTGTTTGTGTACAGACTGCTAGTTTTTCACCTCTAAGGTAGATGTACTCCAGCCTCGAAGGAAACGCCCCTAAAAAGTCTACTTTTACGACATGCTTGTTAGTTAGGGGGCAGTTAGTTTCTTCTCTCTCCCCCCCCCCCCCCCAAATGGGGTCCCAAAACCCACACTGGAATAGCTTTGTCTTATTTTTACTTGTTATCTTAGCTGAAAAAAAAACATTTCCAGGACGAATGTAATAAATGAATGGTAAGTAACAAGTACCGACCAATGCACATTGATGATGATGACATTCAACCCGATCACAACATCACACTGAGTGATAAACTCCAGGTGACACAAAGTGCCACCATTCGGATGAGGATCACTGGGGGATAGGTCCTAGAAACCCGTTCAACCCATAGGTTTGGTTATATTAGGGCCTCCGGCAACCACAATGCGGGGCTTTAAAAATAATGTCTGTCCGACATTGGGATGCATCTTGATAATAAATATACATTTTTCAAGCATGCAAGAAAGAAACAGTTTCTGCCAGTAAAATTGTTCTAGTCTTGTAGTTACATTACTTGATAACACATATTTTTTGTTTATTAAATAAATTGAAAGTACATACAATCAAAGGTGTTATTGTTACACTATGGTAGAAACAACAGGGGGGGGGGGGGGAGTGACGAGAGATTCTGGCAGATGCTTGACCCTCAGAGGAAAGGCAAGACAGACGTTTAATCAGAATGCTACTGGCACCATTAGTATCAGAACTCTTCGCTTGCTGCTGAAGATGGGGACAAAGTGTTTAATGGGAATGCCCCGAGTGCTGTGATGTCGGTTCTTGAATCAAATCAAACCACACAGCATGGATGGTAACGTACTTGGTGATCCCATTTAATACATGAGTGAAGGTCATTGGCTGAGTACCCTACTATACGACACACCTTGATTCAAACGTCTGTCGACTGAGACTCCTACTGTGTGGTGATTTAGGTTCTGGTGTCCGTCCATCGAGTGTCCTACTGGACAGCAACAAAGGTTCAGATGTTCCTCATTCAAAGATCCTACTTATGACACACAAGCTTCAGATATGACCATACAGGGAAGCCATACCTTACGCATGCTTCCCATAAATCCCGCAAGGTAAAGAAGAAGGAAGTGTGCTGGGGCATTCACGCGAAAGGTGCCATTGTCAAAAAAAGAGAAATCTAACATGCTAAAGCAGCTAGATGCCCGTTCCTGCTAGGAACTAGGAGTTTCAGGTCCGCAGACTTTTTCTTTAGAATCCCCAAATGGCGCAGCCGTTAGAGGGGAAGACTCAATATTTATATGTGAGGTTAAACAGCCATGTGGGCGTGACGATTCCTTGGGCGAGCCCAGTGCCAGAGCGCAATGAATCGGTTCTGTATTTAAGGAAGCCTTCTTGAACAGGGTGACATAAGTTAATCCAATTTCGACCTTAATAGAATGAAATTTTTTGTTATTTGAAGCCCCACCCTGGCTTTTGCCAAGGGCCGCAACATAGGCAGGCCATAAATATGGCCAATTGTCTGAACGCAGTTTCTGGGCCCTCTCCACGGCGATCCTTATCCATATGGTGGCACTTTGTGTCATCGGGTGTTTATCGCTTGCGTGATGATATTCTGAGCTGAAACCGGGACATTCCAAGCAAGTCAATGTATCCCTCATTTCGCCAATTCCCTCCCCCCCCCCCCTTTTTTTTCCCCCACGTCATCCGGGGTGGTAATGGTACGATTGAAACCGGAACCATTATCATTTAGGAATAAACGAAAAAGTATGCTCCTATACTACATTGGGGGGGGGGGGGGGGGAGACATGCTACAATGAAAACTCCCACCCGCACACTTCAGGTATCTTAAACTTGAAATTTAATAAGGTCCCCAGATATGCTATAAGTGTTTGTTGTATTCTTGAGCGTATTCTTAGATTTTCTTCCAACAGGACTCCTGAGAAACGGGACTGTCACTGTCACTCAAAAATAACCTTGGCTTGAGTGGGTACCAGGTATAGTTCTGGGAAGTAAAGGCGGACGGTGTGATGTTGACCACATTCCCCACATAGTAACGAATGGTGTATAAAATATAGGATCTTGCCCAAATGCCCAATACGTATAAAGGCGTGAAAAGGCGTCCTTAACTTTACTCCAGCCTAGATTATAGGCACTACAAATATCCAGGCCGTCAGGCAAATGCAGTTAAAGTCGGCGATATCGATGTTATCGCACCGGGTTTTATCACATATAGCTCGGTCTCTCCTCTCAGAACGGTTAGCTGCCTGTCGATAGCGTCACACAAAGCATGAACTCCATAGCTCCAGCGACGCCAATGAACGGGGGATATTTAGGTGAGTGACTTTCTATCCCACCAGGACATCACACAAGCGATAAACACCCGATGACACAATGTGCCACCATGTGGATGAGGATCACCGTGGAGAGGTCCCAAAAACCACATTCAGCCATTAGACCATATTAAGGGTCGGGCTATATTGCAGCCCCTGGCAAGAGCCAGGGTGGGGGCTTTAAAAAAGTGAAAAATTGCATCTCACAAGGAGGTGACTTAGACTGAACAGTGAGGGTAGCTGGTAAATGACATGGTTATCTACCGTTAGTCAACAAGAGTTACCCCGACATGTTTTTCGTGTCTGCTTATGATTGCATTAGTTCAGGTTGTGGACGCAAACATTGAAACCGACAACCGGCGTCAACATGGGCAAAATAATCGAAGCTAGTGTCTTCGTTGTCATGCTTCTACACTTAATTATCTGCCCGTACACAAAAGTGGAGGAAAGTTTTAACATGCAGGCTATTCACGACATTATTAACTATGGGTTCGATATTGACAAGGTACCCTGCCTGTAGCGTATCAGTCGATTGTTGTTGTTTCAGAGTTAAAACTGGACGTTTCTTAAGCCAATTTTGCAAATTTTCTTACTCAAACCAGGGCTCTTTTCCTACAAGCTGCAAGCCATTACTCCCCGCAAAGTGCCTGTTACAGTTGTGCCGTGAAAGTGAGGTCTAAAAAGACAGGCTTGTAGTAGAAGTGAAACTGCTACTACTGTGTTACTGTGTACCGCCAAAACAAAAGAACTGGCAATGTGTCTCTCTAAAGAACAGTTATAACGAACATTTCCTTAGTTATTATGCTTCTTCATATGCATTTGACCTTAGTAATGCGTTTTGAATATCATGATGTGGTTTACAGCTAGGCTGTGATATCTGTACATTTTGGCCCATATTTTTTCAGCCAAATCCTTATAGGTCACCTATAACACACCCAGGAGGTTTAGTAATTAACTGCTATTAACTATTATTGTATTCAGTTTCGGCTGGCATGATATTGACCGCATCACCCTTGAGTGCTGATTGGTCTTTAAAATATACGTCTAGCCCTATATGCCCCAAGTCAAGGAAAAGAGTCTTACTTTACTTACTGTATTCAACCTATTAGTTCAGTCTGTCTCAGTTCAGCCCAGTCACATTGGCCAGCACTGGTCTATCATGCACCCCACATAATGGTTATGTTGTTGAACAGGATTTCTGCATGGGTGGGTTCACTGTTAAACACATTAAGCATGTGCTTGGGCATCAAGAAAGGAAGGGGGCACAACAGACATTTTCCATAATGTAAGAATTGTTCCATAATCTTTCTGTAATTTTCAAATCTGGTAACTGCCCCACGATTCACAGAGGTTTCAATGTTTATTCTTGTCAAAGTCTTGTTCGTGTCAGCTGTCCTCTTCAGTCATCCACTTCTTCTTCTTCACGTTCACCAGCTTTAAACTCTGGCGGAAGGTTCTGGTTGCTCGTCCACTACTGAACTGCAGTCCTGCTCCAGAACCTGAGTGTTGCGTGTGCATCAGTTTTACAGATCTCATTCTCTTGAATACAGACTGTTGGTTCCTTGCCTCTCCGGCAGATGCATTCCGACTTCAAAGGAAGCTCCCCAATTAGTCGACTCTTACGACATGCTTTTGGGGAGGCAGTGGGTCTATTCTTGTTTTTCCCCACAATGGGGCCCTGCAACCCACACGGGGGAGTCATCCACTGAGAATGAGAGTGTACAGGGGCTGAGACTCTGTGTTAACATACTTACCTCGCAGACAAGGTCCGAGGTTAGGGAAACTTATCAAACAAAGATGGTACAGAGTCGGGTGGAAAGTCTTTATATAATCTCACTTCTAATAGATGCAATAATTTGTTTGCAGCTCACACAACATAAGCAGTAATGTACTGAACTTATGGGCTATTCTAGAATAGAAAAGGCGTGACAAAATATAAAAGTAACGAGACCAAAATACACCGAGGAAAATTATTTGCTCTTATTCTTGTTTTATAGTATGACCACCTGGAATTTCCCGGTGTTGTACCACGGAGCTTTCTAGGACCCCTGGCTGTTGCTGCGGTGTCATCCCCATTTGTCCTGATTAGTAATTTTACAGGTGCCAGCAAGTTCGCTCAGCAGTACATTGGTAAGATTAATTTTGTTCTCTGAATAATTGTATGTATGATCATTCATAGAACATCATCATCATTTTATTGTGCTGTTTATTTGTCATGTACAGTTGACAGTCTGTTCTCAACTCTATTTTTCTTCTTTGGCTTTTGCCCATAAAAGGGCAGTTGATTCACATTGTGGTTTACAGCTAGGCTGTGATTTTATCTGATTTCAGTATCCTATTCTCTTCTCTTCTGCCTTTCTATCCCCCAATGGAGCATAGGCCCACAACCAACTCACGCCAAGTCGTTCTATCCTTCGCCATTACATGGAGCTCTCCCCATGTCCTCCCAATCTTTCTAACCTCATTATCCAGCTCTCTTCTCCATGTGTTTTTTGGCCTTCCTTTATTCCTATGCCCCTGTGGGTTCCAATGCAAAGACATTCTAGTTATGCTGTTCTCCTGTTTTCTCAGTGTGTGCCCTATCCAACGCCAGCGTCTTTTCCTCACCTCCTGATCCACTGGAGCCTGTTTAGTTCTCTCCCAAAGTTCTACATTAGTTATTCTATCATACCATTTTATTCCCTCTATTCTGCGCAGGCACCAGTTAATGAATGTCTGCAATTTATTAGTAATTACCTTCGTTGTTCTCCGTGTTTCCGTCCCATACAATAGTACTGATTTGACATTAGAATTAAAAATTTTTAGTTTAGTATTTATTTTAATTTCTTTTGACCTCCACAAATTCCCTAGTGCTATGAAAGCTCCTCTTGCCTTTTGTATTCTTATTTTAATATCTCTATCAGTTCCTCCATCTTTATCTACATTACTGCCTAAATAGGTGTACGACTCCACGTCTTGGAGTGGGGTGCCATTAAGAGAAACCACATTACTATTTGCCTGATTTATTCTCATTATCTTTGTCTTTCCTTTATGGATTTTCAGACCAAGCTGCTTTGATCTCGCATTAAGTATATTTAATTTATCTTGCATCTGATTCCGTGAATGGGACAGAAGAGCAATATCATCAGCGAAGTCCAGATCATCAAGCTGTTTTGTAGGGGTCCACTGAATTCCATTCTTGGTTTTAGCAGTTACTGTTTTCATAGTCCAGTCTATAGCCAGTAAAAACAAGAGAGGCGACAAAAGACATCCCTGTCGCACACCTGTTTTTATTTCAAATGCATCTGTTAGCTTTCCCTCATGAAGAACTCGACATTTCATGTTTTTATATGTTGCCTTTACTAAGTTGATTATTTTCTGAGGGATTCCATAGTGCCCCATCAATTTCCAGAGAGATTCCCTATCTATGCTGTCAAATGCTTTTTCATAGTCTATAAATCCAATGTAAAGTGGTGAGTTCAGTTCAATGCTTTGCTCTATTATAATACGTAATGTGGCTATCTGATCAGTACAGGATCTGTTTGACCGAAAACCTGCCTGCTCATCTCTTAGCATTTTATCAATAGCATCTTTTAATCTTTCCAAAATAATTCTACTTAATATTTTTCCAGGAACTGACAGCAACATAATTCCTCTATAGTTTTCACACTCCTGTAGATCACCTTTTTTGGGCAGTTTCACAAGATATCCTTCTCTCCAGTCTGCTGGTATTTCTTCGGTCTCCCAGACTTTACTGAATAATCTATGTAGCAATTCTGTTGATGTGTTTATGTTGGTCCTGATGGCTTCAGCTGGGATACCATCTGGGCCTGACGCCTTTCCTTCCTTAAGAAGATTTATAGCTTTTCTAATTTCCTCTTTGGATGGTATCTCACAGTTGATATCCAGTTCCATTTCTAAAGGCTGGATATCTGGGGGAACCTCTGGGCCTGGTCTATTTAGAAGCATTTCAAAATATTCAACCCATCTGTCCATTTGATCTTTAGTGTTAGTAAGTACCTTTCCTTGACTATTTTTGATTGATCCAGTTGGCTGACAAATTTACCTACTAATTTTCTTGTCTTACTGTAAAGTTCTCTGAGGTTTCCTTTTGCTGCTGCTGTCTCCGCTTCTTGTGCTAGATCATTTAGATATTTCACTTTATCTGCCCTTATATGCCTCCTAACTTCCTTGTTGGCTTCTGTGTAATTCTTCTGAGCTCTAGCTTTAGCAGCTCTAGTTTTGCTATTGTTTAATTCTGCCTTTTTACTTTTCCTATCTTCATTCAGTTTAATGGTTTCTGGTGTTATCCATACTTTATGTTTCCTTTCTTTCTTGCCAAGAACTTCTACGCAAGATTCATTCCAGATTCCTTTGATCTGATCCCAGCAGACTTCTGTGTTGACATCTTCAGCTAACTGCTGCAACACCTGGTACTTATTAGAGACCGTAACTGAGAACTGTTCCTTAATTTCTTTATCTCTGAGAAAGCCTACATTATATTGGTTTCTATGATTATAAGATGTTATATATCTTTTTAGTTTCAACTTGATTTTACTTATCACCAGGAAATGGTCAGTAAATACATCGGCACCTCTGAAAGCCCTAACATCGTAAAGGGATGATCTAAACTTTTTGTTAATACATATGTGGTCAATTCGATTAGTTGTCTTATGGTCTGGTGATTCCCATGTTGCCTTGTGTATTCTTTTATGGGGAAAAATACTTCCACCAATAACATACTGGTTACCTGCACAAATATTTGTGAACAATTCTCCATTTTCATTCATTACTCCTAGACCATGTCTCCCCATAATTTCTTCATAACCTGTGTTGTCTGATCCTATCTTAGCATTCAAGTCACCCATCAAAATTTTTAAGTTGCCCTTTCTTTCATTATTTATAATATTTTAAAGCTGCATGTAAAATTCTTCCTTAACAGATGCATCTTTATCATTTGTTGGTGCATAACACTGTATTACCGACATGTTCACCTTCTGTTTTACTGTTCTAAAAATGCTCTTATTATTCTGGGACTCACAGCTTCCCATTCTATTAGTGCCCTGATCTGCTGTCTCCTATTAGTCACCTTTTATGACATGTTTGTTAAGGTACGGTGGGTCTCCTCCCTCCCCCCCCCCCACAATGGGGCCTCTAAACACACGTAAGCCACTCCATTCTATCTTAAATGAAGACACCCAAAAAAAAGAGATCAGATGGACAACAGATCAGTGAACAATGCAATAGAAGAAGCCAGAGAGTCCATATATTGAAAGAATCCAATTGGGGGGGGGAATTAGTAGTTGTTTCTAGGCGATATTCAGCATTGAGGGTGAAACATAGGCAGACTTTTAATCAGTTACAACTTTTACTTTTAGCACAGTGGTT